TTGTGGTGGTGGCATAGGGCAGTCAGCCGAAAGTTCCATGCTTTAATAAACAAAATACACAAGAAATTGCAAACAGATGATAATCAACTAAACACATGGGGCTCTAATCTCTTACAGATGGAATATTTAAATGCAGGTTATCTTCTTCAATGGAATCTGTAAATGACAGACACAAAAGACGCCAACCTTTTCTTTTTGCAGTAGTTCTGCTTATGGTTGATGGAGCAGACTTGGACTACGTACCTGATGTTATATGCTATCCATTGCTGCAGCTGGTCAAATCCCCAAGATTAAGGACCTGCTCATTATTCTTCAATGCTTCACAACATAAATTAGCTGTCTGCCTCCATATTTTTTAAGGACAACCATAAATAATCAAGTTTGAAATTAAATATAGAGTTATTTGCATCACATATCCTCAAAGTATGACTCTCATTTTAAACTGGTCTATAGACTTTTAAATATTCCAATTTCATCCTTAAATTATGACTATCATTCTATGTCCTCAAATTTTTTACATTTCAATTTCATCTCCAAACTATGACATACATTCAAAATTGGTCCTCAAACTCTTTGAACATTCCAATTTTATCCCAAGCTATATATATATATATTTGGATGAATTTGGGGATGAAGTTGGAATAGTCAAAAGTTTGGGGAGTAATTTAGAAAGAGGTTCATATTTTAGGGATGAAAACTAGAATGTTCAAAAGTTTTAAGAACTAATTTAGAATAAAGAGTGGTTTGAGGATGAAATTAGAATATTCAAAAGTTTAAGGACCGATTTAAATAAAGATTATAATTTTAGGACGTATGATACAATTAATTCTAAAATATAGATTATATTTTTTGTTTACTAATTAAATAGGTTTAATTGAGTAAATTTGAATAATCTGAGTGTTATTTTATATCAAGATAAAACATAAAAATGTTATTTTTTATTAAATTAAATTAATTGACGGAAAATATATTAATCACACAATAAAAGAAACACTAAGATTTTATAATAGAAAGGTTAAACAAGTGAAAACTATGTTTCGTTTATTTAAAGAGGCGAATAACAGAAAATTGGTTAGCTTCTTTGACAAATGAACAAAACTCGGCTCAACTTTCTTTTTCATAGCGTCTTTGGGATGGAAAATTCAAGCTATTCAAATCCACCAACACTGTTGGCTTAATAATTCTTCAAGGATTATCTTTAAGTAAAGATGTCATCGTTATAAGACATAAAATATAATGACTCACAAAATCCACCAACACTATTGGCTTAATAATTCTTCAAGGTTTATCTTTTACACTTTTTCCAGTTCTAACTGTTCTCTTTCATTAATTCTTGATTTAGGGTCTATTAAACATCAGGTCTGGTCCAAATAATTTGTCAATTATAATAACATTCAATAATTTATAAAAAAGTAAAGTTTTTGATATTGTAACTTAAATTTTTTGACTTGATCTTTTGTTCTCAGATAAATTTAATATGCTCATTTATCATGTTCGTAATCACGATAATATATGTACGAAACAACCTATAACCAAGAATTGAAGGGGAACAAACAACCTATAACCAAGAATTGAAGGGGAAATGTGAGTTTTTCATTTAGATGATTGCTTTCATACTACAAAGGCATTTGTTCTGAATGATGGCAAAATTAAAAAGTCAAAAGTGGTTTAAAGAGCCTAAAGACTAGCAAAGATTGTCAGAGCCATTGGCATCCACTTTGAGGGCAGTGTTCATGTTCAGTGCTGAATATGATAATGAAAAGCTTAGATTTAAGCTAATTAGCTCATATACTGATTATTAGTAAAGATAGATAATAAAAAGAATTGATTTCATGATTTTACCATTTTTTTTGGTGAAAAATTGAATATATATTTTCTTATAATTTAGTCTAAATTACTTATTTCTTTAAATTGACATAAATTAGAAAACCCTTTAAAGTGGATTTTCTATAAATTGTCATGGGATTAAATCAGCAAAGTAGCAAACCCTCTTCTTCTTCTACAACGCCCAAAATCAATACCGATTGAAATAAAAAGTTTGAAACTTTTAAATCTTTATTTTAGAGAATAAATAATTCTAGGAATTTAAACTCTAAATTGATTATATATTTGGTATGCTTTAACCTTAGCTTTCATCTGATATCTTTTGTATCATTCAGAATTTAAGTAAGAGATGACATTATTAAATGTTAAATCTGGGAGCTATAATGGCAAGCCCTGTAGAGTTCAGGGACCCTAGTTGGATTATTTACCTATCCATCTTTTTGAAAAAAATCAGGGTAAAGAGACTCAAACCAGACCCAAGTAATGGTAACACCACATTTTACCATTTGTGTTAAGGTACTATTCTAATAAACAGTAATAAAAATATTACGAGGCCTGTTCTAATAAACAGTAATAAAAAAATTATTAATCTCTAGATAGGTATAATAAATCAAGTAAGTTATAAGGTGTTTCCTGCATATGAATTAACGAATCAAGTAAATTGCCTCCTCTATAAGCCTTTACATTCATGATACAATTCAAACGGATGAATGTCAATCCTTCCACCCCCTCCAATTTATCTGCAGAAAAAAATATTACTATGCTCGGCTATTGAATCCCGAGTTGTTTTTGCCAAGTTGATGAGCTTGTGCTAGAGATGGATGGCCTACGTCCCCTTAGCACTTGGCTTAGTGAAGAATACCCCATAAGTCGATGAAGCGTTGACCCTCCGGTTCTCGGTGGCAACCCTTCGGTTTCCGAGGACACTTTCTTTGACTGGACTGCACCACTGAATCGAAAGTTTCCATAGGTTTGGAAGAGCTAGAAGACATGTTTTGGACATCAGCATTGCTGCCTTGAAGATGGTGGAATTTTGCATGAGAATCAGGGTTTCCATCTGTGGAGCAGCTTATGACAACTCGATGCCGCTCTCTGAATTCTTGCATTAATCGCATCATCGCGGTCCTCAACCTCGCTCGGTGGAGGTTCTGCAGTGACCGGTTCGTAAGGAACTATATTGGTTCCTTTTCGAAGTGAGAACTTAAGCACCTTCCACCCCCTCCAATTATCTGCAGAAAAAATATTACTATGCTCGGCTATGAATCCCGAGTTGTTTTTGCCAAAGTTTGATGAGCTTGTGCTAGAGATGGATGGCCTACGTCCCCTTAGCACTGGCTTAGTGAAGAAATACCCCATAAGTCGATGAACGTTGACCCTCCGGTTCTGGGGCACCCTTCGGTTCCGAGGACATTTCTTTGACCTGGACTGCACCACTGAATCGAAAGTTTCCATAGGTTTGGAAGAGCTAGAAGATGTTTTGGACATCAGCATTGCTGCCTTGAAGATGGTGGAATTTGCATGAGAATCAGGGTTTCCATCTGTGGAGCAGCTTATGTCGAAAGAGAGTCCGTAATCGTCGGAGTAAGACAAAGGATCTGCGTGCATGCGACTGTGACAACTCGATGCCGCTCTCTGAATTCTTGCATTAATCGCATCATCGCGGTCCTCAACCTCGCTCGGTGGAGGTTCTGCAGTGACCGGTTCGTAAGGAACTATATTGGTTCCTTTTCGAAGTGAGAACTTAAGCACCTTTGAGCAAGCACCGCATTTTAGCTGATGAAACCTCCTTCTGAAAAGTAGAAAATCTGCGGGTAACTGCAACGGGCTGATGCAATGGTAACAAGTTACAAAAGGCGCTCCACCTGCCGTTGGTCGGATATCGCCTAACCGTATGATGTTTCTCCCTTATGACCTCTTCAGTTCATGGTCTCCATATCTCTGGTATCAGATTGAATTTCATGGACCTATTAGAAAAAATCAGACTCCATATATCTTTGGGGGCTACAGGGCAAAGAGCTGTATGAATTATAACAACTATGACCGGTGCAGCCTCTACAAAATCCTCGGTTATGTCGAAACATGGACGGAGGCAGCTGCTCCGAATGCTTCCAGGCTTGAGGATGGCAGCATAAACAGGTTGTCAATGCTATGCCTAGAGTTTATTGCACCTCCGGAAAAGGGTACACGCCTCCGGTTCAAGCCGTGTTCTCCGCAGTAAGCGGGATAAAAATCTTCATCCTCGGGTGCGTCAAGATGATTGTTATAATGGTTTTTCTTCCAAGGTACATCAGTGGAAGCACTTACATTGTCTTTCCATTCAGATGCATTTCCGGCTAATTTGATCCTGCAGTTCATATACCATTCTCACAGTTTCATGTTTTCCTCTTCCCCGTACTCGGCCTTTTCTAAGGGACGAAAAGCTGAATCAACAGGGAATTCATCTCGCAGTTCACGTGAAGGGCCGGCACTTTCATAGCCACGCAAAGGAGTCCTTCGAGACAAAGGAACTTGAGATGGATATTGATCTCTCCGGTCTCGGCCATCGCCTAGGTGGACGGTGATACATTACAGGTTCTAGCGCTTCATCTCGGTGCCACTTGCCGTGTTTATCCGTGTCATAATGTTTCTTCTTAGCAGGCTTGTAACTATTTTCAAAGGAATGTAATTGCTGATCAGAGAAGTGATCATCAATTCCATCATAAGCATGAGAGCTTCTGACGGTAGTGGACTTCGACAAACATTCGGGAGCGCCGCTGAACTCGGAACAAACGCTGACAAAATCGACAGTTTGAAAGTATCCGTAGACCTTGAACCATTAACTCCGCAATGTTCACCTATCCAAGAGACTCCGGCGTTGGAATCAATCTTGTTGCTCGTCTCGAATTCCGATTTACACCTAACCGCGAGGTCATGCAATTTGCCTGCTTCTATATTTGTTTCTGCTGCCAACATTGATTCTTCATTTGATCTATTTTCATCAAGCATATCACTTTCCCATCACTATCTCTGGATGCATTTTGATCCTTCTCGTAGCGACCGTTATGTTGGCCTTCTACCGATAATTTCTTACCGTGCTCATCACTATGAGGGTCCGTCGATATCTCCAGCATTAGCTCTTCATTCCCATGACAAAGCTCCGTGGATAAAGAACCTTCAGTGCAAACTCCTGGCTGTTGTATCTATCAAAAGATTCCGTCCGCAACAATCCAGTTCCATTCTGCTGCCCTTCATTCAACCTACTTTCATCAAGCATGCCACGACCACTTTCATCATCGCCATCACTCTCTCCGGATGTATTATGCTTCCCTTCATTCAATCTACTTTCATCAGCATACCGCAATCGCGATAACGACCGCTTTCACCATCACAATTACCGTAATTCGACGTATTCCGGTCCTTCTGGTACTGCCCCTTATGTTGCCCTTCTACCGATAAGTCCTCACCGTGCCCCTCATCACGAGAGCCGGCTAATACCCTGATTCCCTCCACTTTCTTGACTTGAAGGGGAAGGAAGAACATCCTGCAGAGCCGAGCTGCTAGATTCTCCATGTTCGGACACACGAAAAGACCTATTCGCAGCAGCTTCTGTTTCTTGCAAGACAGAGGTGGTTTTGGCAATGGCCTTTTTACTTTTAGCTGCAAAAAAAAAAAAAAAAAATTGAAATCTACCGACGATACAAGTCTACTCTAAGCTTCAATTATCAGTAAAAAACCATGGAAAAGACAAGATCCAAACATATTAAACCATGGAGAACACAGAAATGTAAGGAAAAAAATAGATGCTTACCTACAAGAATTGTATCACAGCCTCCACATTTGTACACAGGAAAATCTGCAACTTCAGGAAGAACCAAAAGGCACTTAGGGCATCTAACCAATCGAACTTTAGGAGCTGTAGCAGTTGCCATACAATAATCCAAGCTGCTTCAGACCTACTGGTTTCCAAGAGAGAAGAAGAAACAAAACATACCCAGATTTTACAAGGAAAAAAAAAACAACCTTTTCCAGGCAAAACGTGCAAACTGGGAAAATAATTAAGGGGATGAAAATGGGTTGACTTAGTTTTATTTACAGTAAGTCAAGGGTTGACTTTCAAAACCATTCTTCTTCTTCTTCTCCTCCTTATTAAGCTTTATGTTTGAAGGATGGATTTGCAGGTAGAAACAAAACCAGACCAAATACAACAGCTTGTCTGTGTGGTTCTTAAATAGAAAGTAGAACAAAAAAACAATGACAAGATTGGATGGGGTGTTTTAATCTTAAACTAAATGGGGATTTTTACCAAGTCAACTCATGTTTTTAATTTTATCTTTTTTGTAACTTGTCTTGTCTGCCAACCCCATGTTTGAAAATGTCTTAAATTGCTAAACTCTTTTTTGTGTATTTCCCAAGCAATCTATTTTGTGTATTTCCCAATACATAAGCCATGTAAATTAAAGTGTTACAATTGTATGATCTGCTTTTTTTTATATAGATTTGAGCTGATTATGATTATGAAATAAATTTATTTAAAATAAAGATTTAAAGTGATATACTAAAATATTTAATCCGTAGTAAAAAAAAACTGTTTATATTTTTTATGTGAGTTTTTTTCTTTCTTGTAAAACAAGAAACTAACCTTATAAGCAGATATAATGGATTAGGGTCTAGAAATAAGGTGATTAAATTATAAATGACGTTTATAGGTAAATCTTTTTGTATTCTTTTTTCGGCATAATAAATTTTCTCCTTTTATGTTCATGATTTTTTTGTAAATGATTTTTATATTAAATCTTAGTGTTTCTTTATTTTGTGATGCTTGTATTATTATATAAAATTTAGTCCAACATATGTTTTTGTACATGAAAAAAATATTAATCTAAAAAAATAAAAATGATTGTTAAAATAAAAATAAATAAAATTTGTGTAAAAAAGCCAATTTTATTACTAATCTCCAAATTATGTGCAAGCTAATACGACTAAAATTGTGCAGCCCTGGACTTGTTTATTATTGGTTCCCACACATTTTCATTTTTCCAAAATTGATTTTATGGTCATCCAAGGACGGACTAGAAATACGATCTAAACTGGTTTTCAATTTCAATTTTTTTTTTAAAAAAAAATTCACCATATTCCAATTGTATAGGAAGAAGAATGTGGACCGATTTGTGAATCCTAAAAATTAAGACATTTTATTAACTTATCACATACAATTATAAAAAACTCAACTTTAATTTAATAATGAAAAATTAAAAAAAATTAGGGTAAAGTAAACAATCGGTCCTTCATTATAGGGTGTTGTTTTGTTGAGTCTCTCGATTTTTAAAGCTACAAATTGGTCCTCCGACTATAGGATATTACTTTTTTAGTCCTCCAACTGTTAAAAGTCACAAAATGATCACCTGACTGTAGCGTATTATTTTTCTAGTCCTCCAACTATTAAAAGTCACAAAATGGTCACCCGACTATTAATATGTTCCAAACTCGTCATTTGCCGTTAAAAAATTGATGGCAGTCTGAGCTGAACTTTTTTTAATTTGTTAACTGTGATATGATAAAATCTGATATTAAAATCTCAAATGACTATACTACTCAAATGGTTTTAGGATCAGATTTTATCATGTCTCAATCAACAAGTTAACGTTCAGCTTAGATTACCGTCAATTTTTTTTAATAAAAAGGAAAATTTTGAAAAATATGAATAGTTGAATGACCATTTTGTAACTTTAAATAGTCGGGGACTCAACAAAATAACACCTTATAGATGGGAGACCATTTTTGTGATTTACCCCAAAAAATTAATGTCTCGATTCAAATTTCATTAGTCTTATTTTTTGTTTATATTCATTCTATTGAGTTGTACACATTTATCATTTTTATATAATATTTGGGGGTGTTTGATCTACATAAAAATCATTTTTATGTGTAATAATTTTTTTAGAAATATATATTTATGTGTGGATTGAGAATTATTTCATCTAAAGGTCCAACATCTATATTTTTTTAGACAAATGATAGGAATGCCATTCCCTTTGATTTATTAAATATTACATAAATTTTGTTGTTTTATAAGAGATTTGTTTTGTAGATCCTTCATATTGTCTCTACTAACTTTCATATTATTCATTTCGTCATTTCTTATATTCACCGAAATTTAATTATATAGTCGATAATTTAATCATTTACCAACTTTTTCAATGTTAGGGTTTCTTGTTATAGATTGCAATTTTAAATTTATTCGATGTTTCTTCAAGTTATTTATTAATATATATCAGGGGCGTGGCTGAGGGTGTGCAAAGTGCACGACGACACAGGGCTCCAAAAAATAATAGTTCCGAAATCGAGTATATCTATTAGTTGTTGCCATTAAGAAGTCTAAAAAATAGAGGTCCCGAAATCGAGTATATCTATCAGTTGTTATAAGAATTTGCACAGGACTTCCAACAACCTAGCCACGTCCCTGATATGTATATTTATATTTAAAAATGATCTTAAATCGAATCAAATCAAGTTTTTGAGTATAACATCTCTTCGTTATTCACTCGACATGAACTTAAATCAAATAGCATCTCATCGATCTTAAGTCGAACGTTACTCCCTATCTGTTACACCCATGATCTTTATACCCTTGAATTCCTATAGCTTTGGATAGAATTGTATCCCTAAATTGGGAGGGGACGGTATGGGATGGGGGATGGCAAAGTCATGGGTTTGACGAATGAGAGGCCAACAGAACACAATACACGTACAGCTGGAACAATCCAAGTGGCAGAATCTCATCCTCGTCCAGGTACCAGTGGGACCCACCTGTTAAAGTCTTTGCCTTTGATGACCGGCAACAGCGACCTGAGAAAAAGATTGCTTCTTTTTCTGCAATCTCCCTCAATCCCCTGCAATCTGCATTGAATATCCAAACCCAATCTGTTCCACCACATCCTTTACCATGGAGATCACATATTGATTTCACCCTCCTGCCTTGGCTTGGATTAGTTTCCACGGGATCGTCTCTCATCACATCATTCATCAATATTACTCCGATTAGTATTCGATCTTAATTGTATCACATGTATCTAAATAATAATTTAAGTATTATATCAGTTTGGAACATTTCAAATTTCCATCATAATATTCATTTCGCTTAATATAGAAATAATTATTTAAATTATATTTAAAATTGATTTTTGGTGTATAAACAATTTTTTTGGTTAAAATGAGTGTTAATATTTTATTTATTATACTTTTATGTGTTTATTTTTAAAAAATCGTTAAGTAACATATGTTATATTTATATTTTTTATTTTTATAAAAATATAATATTATTTAAAAATATTTTTTTTTTTAAAACTAAACATGACATGTGTAATTTAATGATTTTGTTTTAAAAGTAGACACCTAAAGTTGTAATAGAGATAACATTATGCACACATTTTTAACAAAAATAATTCTTTAGACATCAAAAATCAATTTTGAATATAGTTTAGACACTTATTAATTTGTCCGAATCTTTACAAAATAGATTATTAATATCATATTAATAAAAATTTTAAAGATAAATTAAATGTTTAGTACTTAAATTATAATTTTTATTTATTTTGGTACTCAAACTTTTTTAAAATCACACCTAATGTTTAGATTATATTTCATTTTGGTAGTTGCCACTAAAAATTTAACGGTGATGTTGATGTATCATCAGTAATGGAACATCATCATTAAAAAAATAATAAAAAATATCATATTGACAGTTCTGATAATTTTTCTTTGTCATTAACAAAGCATATACACTCTGCGGAAGTAGCTACTCGAATTCAAAACGTCAAAAAAGAAAACACTCTCTTTAACCACTAAGATCATTTAATGGATTCATTCTTTTCATAATTTTTTGGTCTGGTCTGTGGGAGATAATGTTAATATCTGTTTTCTTGCATAAGTTGTGGATTCCTTAAAGCAGTTCTTTGAAACATTGAAATAATGACTTGTGCAATAATTTGTTAGTCAAAGATTTAGCATGGTTGATGGTTCTTAAAATTCAGCTTACGGTAAGTGTTAGACACAATATTTTATGTTAAGGAAATAAATTTTTAAAATTTTAGATGAATAACTTCTAAAGATTGAGGGGTTCAAATAAATTAACACTATTTTTTTTAAAATATATGATAATTTAAATTATTTAGAAGATTACTGCCCCGTTTGCATCCCTCGGTCTATTCCTACTCATTGTTGATATTTGTTTGAGTGATATACGATATATTTGAATGATTCTAAACTCAAATTTATAAATCATAACTTTAAATATTAAATAACACAATAATATAATCTTATATGCAATTTTTTCACCACGAGTGTATGGGATAATAATTTTATATTATACTGATGGTAAGTCATTGGTTTCAAGTTTGTTTAGATTTCAACTTATTATTTTATAATAAATAATCCATGGGGAGCTCCATAAGAAAGGGGGGGGGGGGTTGATGAAAGACCATGTACTGTGGAGTGGAGTGGAGCTGAAAAGAATGAATCAACTGCCGTCCTGCAAAGCAAAAGAAGACTAGAATGGATCAACTGCCGGCCTGCAAAGCAAAAGAAGACTAAGTCCAAATCCAGACCATTGATTTGTGTTCATTCAACTATAATTGCAAGTCTCCCATCAATTCTGTGCAATTATATTACTATTATTTTCCCATTAATACAAACATAAATCAACACTAAACAGTTGAAAATTTTTGGATAGCTCACATCAAAGACTAACCCAGCTGTAACATACACTAAAAGCATGCTACGAAAGGATGGTTATCTTAAACAAGCATCCAACGTTTAATAAATTGCAAAGTTGGGGCAGCTCTACTTGTCTCTGTCAGAAGGGCTTCTACTCATCCTTTTAACTGAGGAGCAAATCTTTCACGGCTCCAACTCGTCTGGAGAGAAGGAAACATCACCAAAGACAGAAATAATGTTCGAAACATGGCAAGGCGAACAGAAAAAATTGGTAAAACCATGTTATGTTAAGCGTCCAACATTATTTATTTCAACAGGGCCATTTGACTACAAGGCAGTTAAAATATTTAGAGAAAGCATTGGCCACAATCAGTATAACGAAGGGGTACTCCTCAAAGTAAGTTCATCTGGCATTGTTAATGCCTCAGATCAAACTTTCAGAAACTTTAGTAAACGAAAGC